AGAAAGAAAGAAAGAAAGAAAGAAAGAAAGAAAGAAAGAAAGAAAGAAAGAAAGAAAGAAAGAAAGAAAGAAAGAAAGAAAAAAGGAAAGAAAGAAAAGCTAAAACAAGCTACTCCATATCCCAGAAACACAATTTCTGGAAAAACTGTATTTAGTTTCCCTAACCATATGGCAGGAAAAAAGACGTCTCTTCTGAGAACATGAAGTCTGTTATGTTACTGTGTTTTTATGATTCCATAGTTGGTGTATCCTACTCTAAGCTAGGGATCAGAGTTCCTTCTAGAGAAAGGAATTAAGTAAGTTCCCACTATAAATTTCCTTTCCCAGTACCCACTTGAAAGAATAAACACAAGGTGATACGACTCAGCAGAGGTATCTTCATAGGCTCCACAAACACCTAGGGAGACACACTTTCCAATTATTCTTTATTCAAATCTTCCTAAAATCCAAAACTACTACTTATTTCTTCTAATCATCTTTACCATCGCCTGAAAACTGGGAACATTCTGGCTTAAGAACAACTCATCCTAACAAGGTATTTCAGCAGTGACTGATATCACCAGCAAGCATGGCGATTCTTCTCCAAACAGGACAGATCTATCATTCTGTAAAGGGTCCCACTTAGCCATATTTCTGCCTCAGATTCCTTCCCCTTTACTCCAACCCTATAAATTAGACTAGAAAACAGAGATGCTGACGCACAACGAATGTTATAATCTGACACCCCATTTGTTTGTATCCTGGAGGGCATCTCTGTATTTGATGTACAGTGGTGGAACCAAGAGCTTGCTCAGAAGAAGAGCTCTGGATAGAAAACTAAAATCAAACAGGTACTGAGGATTCATGAGTAAATCTCTATGCTCTCATGGAATTTTCCATCTGGGGCATTCTTTTCTCTGTGTTATAAAAGTTAAAGAATTCTGCAGGCCAAAGGGACTTCAATGGTCACCTGCCTCCCAGTACAGACAAGGAGGCAGTGCCCCACAGGAGCTAAGCACACACCCAAGGTCCCACAGCTACCTGGTATTCAAACAGAGCCTATGATCTGGGTCCCTCAAACCATCTAGGACCTTATCACTTCACAAGTTCCCTCCTAGATATCAAATAAAACAGCAGAAATTATAACAGGGGTTGGCAACCTTTTCCTGTAAAGGATGAGATGGTAAATATTTTCAGATTTGCGGGTTTCTGTTGCAATTACAGGGCTCTGACATCATGGTACAAAAGCAGCCAGACATAATAAAGTAATGAGAATAGCTACATTCCAATAAAACTTTATGGATACTAAAATTTGAATTTCTTATATTTTCATGTGTCATGACATATTATTCTTCTTTTGAAGTTTTTAACCATTTAAAAATATAAAAACATTCTCAGCTCACAGGCTATACAAAAACAGGTGGGCTGTATTTGGCCCACAGTATGTAGTTTGCAAGCCTCTGGATTAGAACAGTATATCATTAGAAAATGTCAGCTTACTTTCTGTCACTATCGTCTTAAACCATTTAAATCCTAACTCATTTCTGAGACTATCTTTGGCTTACCAGTCTTTCTCCTGCTTGCTCATTAATTACATTTATCTTTTCTTTTCAAACTGATTTTGGAGAAGAAAAGGTATTGAGTAACCCTGAGAGGTGGGGAAGCAAATCCAGCTACAAAAACATTCTAAACAGAAGACAGCCAATGCCTCTGATTAAAATTGCATTACACAATGTGGATGCGACAAAGCAATTTATACTTTCCCCAGAACGCCTATGAGTTTGCCTTATGTCATGGAAATCAACTGCCCTATGCCTAATGCGGTGGTTTTTTTTAATTTTGCTGAGTCACCACCAAAATCAAGTTGGCACTTCAGACAGAACAAAACTTTCAATGCGTTTAGAGGACACACCGCTTGTGACTGTCCCTGGGACAAAGAAGACTGCACTAGCCACTGAGCAGCAACATGACCCTTTCTAGGAGAGATAAGGTGCCAAATCCTAGGACACTTCTCAGCACAGAGCTCAGAACTCAGCTGTATTCCAAAGTGGACATGGTAGACCTGCAGAAGATTTGGAAACAGATCCTTACTGAAAGCATAAATAGAATTATTCTTTGGATCACCAGGAGGCCCAGAGAAATACAAGTGAGCCTAACTCCTTGGTTGGTATATACCAACAGTTCTTAAGCTTGTGTTCTAATGACTCTGATGCTTGGGCCTGTTTATAAACCTATGGTAAGCCCCCATGGCAGCGCTGTGGTTCTGTGTGTTTAATGGACACGTTTAGCTCCAGCAAGTCAATTCTGCTAGAGGGACAAAGTATAGTCAAAGTATAAGTTAAATAAGATGTAGTAACACTTGCCCAAGATCTGCATAGTAAGCTTTGACTTCTAACTGTGTAGTAAACTATGACTTCTAGATAAGGGCTGATGCAATTTAGAGCACCATTAAAAAGAAAGTAAAAAGTGTGCTGGAACAGTTCTGAGTCAGTTAAGCCTGAATCACCGCTGGGGTTGAGTTATCCCTGGTGGCTGAGTCATCACTGGAGGCTGGCTGAATCGTGCCTCAGTTCTGATGTTCTGTCCCAGAAGTTTAAAGTCTGGCATGAAAATAGGTTGAAGCAAATCACTCAGGTGAGAGAGAATGCTTTAAGTTTAAAACATTTATAAAGAAAAAGAAAAAAAAAGCTTACTGCTAACAGCATGTTACTTTTACTGTGATGTGACAGTTTGCCTTAGCCGGGGGATGTAGTGACAGCAATGTTTGCAAGACCATGTAAATATGTATGATGTCCCCAGCACACAGGCCTGAACTCAAGGATTACTTTGAAGGATAGATGAACTTATCACTGCTATTCAAAATAAAGCAAAGGCTAGGGAAGCATATGCCATGTTCAACGGTAAGGGCTTATTTACATTCAAGCACTGCAAATGTAAAGAACAAAAGTGAGCAAGAAAGGAATCTCTGACAGTATTGGCCAGTGAAAAGGGATATGGGTATATTTCTTCCTTACCGCCCCAGCTTTTTTTCTGGTGGTACCCAGGCAACAGAATCCAACATCATGACCTTGGAAGGCAGAAGCGTAATCATCCAGCTTTTCAAAGTCCACCACTTCTTGTATCTGGATGACAAGGACACAGCTGTATGTAACTTGATGTTATTTTTTAAAAAGTAGCCCTCTATATTTAAAGAATAAATTACAGAACATTACTGAAGAGTCTGCCCACTTAACATCACATTTTGCAAGCTCATTTTCTCCCACCAAAACCCAATTAATCTGAATTCCAAATCAACAAAGTACTAATGTGGCCACAGTATATTTAATTGGACTAGGGGTGATCCAGATCTCAAAAAGTCAGGTTCAATTATAATTTCTCTCTCCGGAAAAATAAAAGACCTGTCTGCACATTACCACAAGGGATACCAATGAGGTATAATGTGGGGTCAGGGAATGGTGTTTAGAACCTCAAATACCTAGGTTGGAGTCTTGGGCCTGATACTTCCTAAACAGTAATTTTGGCCAAGTTATTTTTATCATATGCCTCAATTTTTCAGCAGTAAAATGTAAATGATAATCTTCCCTTCAGTACAATCCCTGTACCATCTGCATTAAAATCAGTCAGTGGGTCACAGCTGGTATGGCTCAGTGGTTGAAAGCCAACCCATACACCTAGAGGTCACCGGTTCGATTCCCAGTCAGGGAGGCCTTGCAGGAGACAGCCAATCGATGTTGATGTTTCTCATCAATGTTTCTCTTTCTCCCTCCCTTTCTCTCTAATAATCAATTTAAAAAAACTTATCTTAAAATCAGCCAGTGGGTGCTTGATAAAAGGGCATATTCTTAGGTCTCTGAGTCAGAAACTGCACTTTTAATAAGCACCCTTGGAAATTCGCATACTCACTGAAATTTAAGAACCTCCACCTAACCTGATAAGTTTGTTGTGAAACTTAGAAAAGAAAGTTTGAGAAGTTCTCATCCAGGGGTTCTAATAAAACGTTGCTTCCATTCCCTACCATCAACTCTTGCAAAAGAATTTTCCTGATACTGTACACAACTCTAAAGAAAAGTGTTTACATTAAGTGCCAGACCAAAACTACACTATCAACACACAGAGTTTGATTTCAGTTTCTAATTACCATAAGTATCTGACACACCCCATGAAATCAGATTATGAAGACTATATGTTACTGCCTAAGTCTGAGCAAAGATGTTTTCAAACAGGAAAGTCCTGATGGACCAAAGACATATGCAAAATGACCTGAACATGGACCTGTAGAGTCAAGAATATTTATTTATGACACCATTTGTTATGTGGAATGTTCCACCTGTGAAAACTGTGGGACCAAGTTCTATAATTAGGGGGTCTCAGGATTACACTATAATTTACTGAAGGTCACAAGTAACTCAGGACTCTCCATGAAGCTCAGACTTCAAATATTTAGGGAGTTTGCACCAGACTGAAGTCTGGTGTATTGTTTGGTTAACCATGAAAGAGTGATAGTCAAGGGAAGGAATATTCCCCTTACAGACACAGGGCAGCAGCCAGCCCTGGGAAGTCAGGCTGGACAAATTCTTGTATGTGAATCCACTTTCACTGCCATAGACTTTCTGTTCTGCAAAGCATTTTCTGATTCACTGACAGCATTAGTGTGGAGTGGACAGTAAGAACGAGCGAAGTGGACTGTCTCCAGAACCCAGCTTGAGTGATGCTGAGGACAATGCTGTTCTGTCTCTGGGGCTCCCATCACAAGCCAGGCCCGCCTTACAGGTGCCTAGACTGAGAGGACCTTGCCCAAGGCCGCATAGTGGGGGGAGGCCCGCCTGGGCCCGCAGTCCAGGGCTCCCGCCCCCAGTAGGGGCTCTCACAGGCCAACCTGGGCCACATTCTGGTCACCTCTCGCACCTTCCACCCTGGCGGGCAATGTTAACCTGTTAAGCATGAAATTCTGTCCGCCGGCCGGTACATTTTGAGTTTCAAATACCCACCACATTTTTATAAGCTTCGTCATCAAAGGTCAGCTTCCTCCGGCCAATGACTGTGACTTTGGAAAACAGTCTCTGTTCCAGCATTTTTTTTAAGAGCACTCTGCCGGTTTCCCCGCTGGCGCCCAAAATAAAGGCGGATTTATTCTGCATCTGGAAGTCTTCCCGAAGCTTGGGCAGCGCCTCCATCTCAGCCGGGCTACAGAAACAGCGTCAACAGGGGCTGACTTGGGGATGTTTAGGGACGGCCCGCCCTACCCTGGGGAACACGGCACGGTCATTCGCTCTGGAGGAGACACTGCGACTCTCCGCAGCCTGGCCCAGCGGAAAGCGCTGAGTCACCTGCAGGGCGCGGTGCCACCCTCACCTCGGAAGGGGCCACAAGCCGCTGGCACCCAGAGGCCTCGGCCCGCCTTGTATCCCATCTTCCGATCCCTCCTTCCTCCCCGCACACTGTGCGGGGGTGCGGGGGGGGGGCAGTCTGTCTCCTCAGAGAGGGGGTTACCTGGCGCCAGCCCCCGGCCCAGCGTCCTCCCCCCGCAGCAGGAGCAGGGCGGTCACCAGCGCCCCGACCGCGACCGCAACCGCTGCCCCCGCGCTGGGCATCCGGGCGGGCGCATGGGGCATCCCTCCTTCCCGGTTCCCGCCGGCGGAAGCCCCTCCCAGATCCGCCAGGGGGTCGGGGGCGCCACGCCCATGCCTACCCGGTCCTTTTTCCTGGTG